TGCCGGGGCGTCCTCACCGGGCTGCTTCGGTGCTGTGGCTTTTTTTGGGTTGGGTTGTTTTTTTTTTCACTGAAAATCGCTCCGAATAAGCTCAGTATCAGTCACAGGGGACGTGATTCTTTTCTTCCCTATCCCACAGGGAAGTGACACAATCTCTTTGTCCATTGCAGGTGATTTTAACCAGTGCTGATGTGCCCGGGAGTGTGTGTGTGTGTGTGTGTGTGTGTGTGTGTGTGTGTGTGTGTGTGTGTGTGTGTGTTCAGGTGTCTTTCCAGGCATCTCCTCTGTTCTTTTCAGTAGAAGAGATGTTTGAAAGTATCTCTCAATTTCCCTTGTTATTTTTGCCCTAGTGGGGATGGCTTAACGTGAGAGAAGAGAATGAGAAATTTTTTCTCCAAAAGGCACACACTTAAATAAATTGGGACAATTACTGAGTATGTCCTGGTTTTCTCATTTGTTACTTGGATTCTCAAAACATATTGTACAGTTTAATACTTTAAATCGTAAGCAATTGAAGGATAACATCTGTACCCTCAAGTTCAGTGTGTTTCCAAGGGAGCTGGAGAAAAAAAATGTAGGGAAGGGGAGTCAAGGAGAAGCTAATGGTGTGTCCAGACTCATTCAGCAAAGGGTGACAAGACAGGAACCGACTTCTGCAGTGGCTTAGGCAGATGAGGCAACCATCAGAAAGTTGCCTTCTGGGTGGGTTAATGTTTGGAGAACACTTTAAAACACAGTATTACTTTCTGGAGACAAAACGTGAAGCCCTGTGGATGACACTGCATTTTTTTTTTTTTTTCCCCTCTTTAATTATCTTCCATAATCTGGAGACTCCAGAGATCCCCATTAACTGTCTCTGGGAGGCCATATTAGAGTGATCATTAATTAATCCCAGGGAGAAGCAGTCATCTCTGCTAATGAGCTAGATCTTCATATTCCAACCTGCCTGCCATCCTGACTGAGCCACAGGAAATGCAGGGGTCCTCACTGCTTGTACAACTTGCTTGATTTCATTGTGTTTCCCAGAGAGCAGCCTGATTTTTCTTCACTATCAGGATAAATTGCTTGGGTTTTAGAATTTTTCAGTAGCCACAGAAATGCCATAAATAAGGGGCAAACACAGGAGTTGAGGCTCTGTGAGTGATGGGTGGGAGGAGAAAGGGGAAAGGCATAAAGACTGGAGAGTAAGGAGGTGAGAAAAGGAGACACCCGTTCCTTGGCATTCAACCTTCTGGTGCAAAATTTACCCACAAAGAACAGAGCTGAGATAACCAGTGCTCACAGATGTTCTTAGCAAGGCAATGGCTTCTGTTCACTGTCATGTGGGTTGCCTTTGAACCAAGGACTGAAAGTGTACCTTTGTGTGAATAGATTTTACTCCACTGGTTGAAATCCAAAATTACTTAAGCTGAAAAGAAGAAAATCTTATTAACTGAAGTAAATTTTAATCTTCTCCTACATTTGTACTTTCTTATTCACAAGGGAATGTTGATTTCCTTTTATTGGTAGCATTAAAACATGTCACTACATCCAGCCATAATGGTAAATTCAGTAAGCAGAAGGCTCTTTTTACATATTTATGTTATTTTATGCATTTAATGTTCAGAGTCGTAATTTTTGTGTTAGGAAATAGTGTCTGATTAGACAGCTGGTTTTTTTATGTGCTTTTTTCAGTATGTGTCAGCTTGCCTTTGGAAGAAAATAAATCTGCACTTAAAGACAGAGTCTTAATTTTCATTTTTTGC